AAAAAAAAAAATCTATATCTATATATTTATATATCTATATCTATATATCGATATATAAATATATCGATATATAGATATAAATAGCTGGTGATGCCTACCAGGGACTCAGTCCCCAGTGTGGGTGGGGGTACAGTGAGGGACAGAAAAAGAGAAAGGAAGTGGAGGGGAGGAAGGAGGGAAGGAGAGAGAAAGAGAGAGGGAAAGAGAGAGAGAGAGACTTCTGGAAGCTATAGTCAAGAGGATGGAAGGGGGAGATGGTCTGAGAGAATAAAGGTAACACGCGGAGAGTCTCCAAGTCCAAGGGCCGCCTTATGTGGACTGTTAGCCATCGGGCCATGCAGAGAAGGAGGTTTTTTCCAAGGTCAGTGGATGTGAGAGCCAACTGCCTCTCACAAGTGCCTTTTTTTTTAAATCTATGCTTTTACAGAGTCTTTGTCTTGTAGCAAATTTTGTTAACATTATTATACAGATGATATACATAATACATATTTTAGAAATATTTTGGAGCCCTACCCGCATTTTCTCTGGAGTCACCCTGCATGTGTATTTTATATTCTGCACTTTCATGTGATCAGTCAGTAGCAGGGACATGAATTTACAAAGATCTCCCTACACTGCCCCTTCCACACCTCTCTTCAGCTTTATTTCTCTCTCCCTTGCTCCTCACATCTCAGCCACACAACCGTACTGTTTCTGTTAAGGGAAGAGCTGATTACTGGAAACTTGAAGACCTTGGAACTTGGGACTTTGTTTTATTTATTTAATTTTTTTTGAGACAGGGTCTCACTATGTAGTTGAAACTGATCTGGAACTCACTATGTAGCCCAGGCTGGTCTCCAACTCACAGCGATCCTCCTGCCTCAGCCTCCCAAGTGCTGGGATTACAGGCGTGACCCACCACGCCCGGCGGGACTTTGTTTTGTTTTCGAAAATTCTTTATCACTATTTAAAGTTACCTGGTTCATTTGCTTGCTTGTATATTCTTTAACTACTTCCACTTGAATATAAACTCCAGAACTGACCTGGTCTGTCTCATCCATCCACTTTTCGTACTACCTAGAGCGGTGCTGGGCACGCGTAAAGGGCATTTCCATATCTGTTGGACAAACCAACAGGGAACAGCCTTAGTGTAAAAATTTCTGCTTTTCTAGTTTAGCTTAACTTAAAATAGGGACTAAGTTTACTAAGACTTTAGTGTTAAAATGTAAAATAATCTAAGTGTATGTTTTCAGAGTCAGCAAAACAGTGAAATGAGTTTAATCTTTAATTTATTAGAACCAGTAAGTGATGATTTTAAAAGCATAGTTCCCACCAAATTAACACATAATTCAGGGAAAAAATACATAGAAAAAAAAACCTAAATCTTAAGGCAGAAGTAAAACATTATAAAAACAGCATGTCTATTACAGACTGTAGAATGTCAGATTTTTAAGAGACTCGCACAGTATTTTATAGCACTTAAATGTGTTAATACAGTCAGAAATATTATCCATTGGTCCAAGATTTCTCAGCCTGTAAAATGCCTCAGCTGCTAATTGAAGAAATTTTGCTGTTAAGTAACAGCTATCATATGACCAAGTGACCACTTTTATGTCAAAGGAACTAAGGCCAGTAATCTTATGGTTTTTATTTGTAAAGATTTTAGAATATTAAATATGAAGCATTACTAGAAATATTTTTAGATTTATCTCCCCATGCTAATTCCCAAAGGATGTACATCACTCCCCTTTAATTCCATTTAAAAATTCTGTGAACTGTTAATATTTATTCATTGTAGGCCTATCCTACTGACAATGAAAGCATAAATTATTTACTTTGATATGGTAAAAAAAAATCTTAGTCAATTACTGCATCTTTTTCTGGTCACTAACTTCAAACTGAAGTCAAAGAAATTTTACACCTCACCAAGTGAACTTCTACAAGTTTCAATTATGACTGGAGCCTGGGCATGGGATGCAGTGGGAGTTGGTGTTTCTTTGCCTCTTTTGTGGTGCTGGGGACCAAGCAGGCAAGTGCTCTATCACTCAGAGATATATCCAGCCCAGTAGTTCATATACACAGGGAATTAACAGTAGTCCTTCTGGAAAACAGAGTTATCAACTTTACATTTCCCTTCATGATCAACACCTTTCGTTTTTGGGGCATGGGATAAGATGCAAAAATGTTTTAATCAAAAAACAAGGATTAGCCAACTTATACATTCTATTGAATAGCGTCAAAAAAGACAAAATGTACTTAAAATAATTTTGTACATCTAGCAAATATGAGGTTGATGGTATCTTAACTAACATATTAAGTAATTACAAAGATTCCTTTTTATTACAAACTTTAAGCTATTTTTATAAAACAGCTATACTTCACAGTACTTCTATCCTTATTTTTGCATTAATAAAAACTTGTTAAAATTTCTTGTGTAGTATTTCTGAAAAATATGTAGTCAAAGAAAATCACTAAAACTACCAGGACAGCTTTGCAGTCCTGATGGCAGATGCATTTTGAAGTAGATTTAGCCCCTTTCAGGGCCTGTCGTTTAAATCATGAATATCTCCAACAATGCAGACTGTGAAAATAAAACTTTAGTCAGTGCTGACTATAGTTAAACAGTACTGGCATTATGGGGAAAAAAATGAAAATGCATTCAACAATATCACGCTAAGAAGAATAACTGATAAATATTTATGTCTTTCTTGAGTCTTCAACTGAAAGCTAATCTGCTTTTCAGACACATCAGCTCCTACGCAAAACAGGAGTACGAAGGTAACTTTGTATACATGTTGCACATGTTTGGCACCCATTTTCCCCTCATTTATGTCACTATTCTAGAACTGACTCCCGTAAGAGATGAAATGAAGGGCAGCCAGAACAGAGCACCTGTTGGGCTCACAAGAGTACATAAGTATAAACCCTTTCCAGCTGTGTGACTGCCCTCACTGTGTTATGCTACATGTAACGTATTATCTGTACAACCATGTTCTCTTGCTATTTGTGGAAAAAATTAAGCTTAACAAAATGTGAAATATATATTAGTTTTCTTTAAATGCAAAGATTAACCATTTTTGGCTCAACTGTATCATAACCAAAAAAGTCTCTGCTTTGATAATACAATACGAGAAAGTTCGCATATGTACACGGGCACAGTCCTTCGTAAAGGGTTTCCTTCAATTTACCTCAGTGTATCTTTACAACTGATACAAGTGATCTTTACAACAAAAGTGAAAAATGACAAAGTAGAAATGATTTCATTCTACAGCACTTTAGGTTTTGTGAAATTTTCCTTTAGGATTTAAAGGACATCATCATTGAAACGCTGCTTTCCATAGTCTGCAGGATCCATCTGAAGCTCTCTTTCTTCATCATCTGTAAGTAAAATAATGATACATTAAAAATAATATTTTAAAAATCACCGCAGAAATCCAAAGTAAAAATGTTTCTATTATTTTCAGCCTTAAAATTGTTTTTTCTTGTTATTTCTCACCTAATGTAAACAGTGCTCTATTTCTTAGTTGCTTAGCTAAACAGTAGTAAGTCTGTAACAGTGTTGGAAGATATCTTGATTTAAACAAATTTTGATTACAGATCCAGAGATGCAGAGCTAGACATAACATACATAGCTAGCAAAACTTTAGGAACCCACAACATTGTGGAATTCATCCCTTTACATATATATGTATACACACACATACACACACATTATTTCTATGTAGATCAAAGTTTAGCCCCTTAACTAAGTTTTGGTATGAAGAATCATTTCTGTGTATATTTCATGCATCTAAGAAACAAAGTGTGTTCTAATTTTAGAATTAACCCATATTGATCATATAAAAATTAGAAAATAAAAGTCACTCATAATCCCAATATTTAAAATTGTGGGGAACTGGAATTTGACTTATTTGGCCACTGACAGATTTTTTGCCTCCTTGGCCAGCAGCTGTCACTCTGCACAGCTGTCAGTTCATCTGCCAAAAGCAGTCCCTTTTTTCAAAATTCTGCTGAAAACTACAGGTTTTGAAATAATTAAACAATTAAAATTATGTTAGAATAACAATGAAAAGTATCTAAATCAGTGTCTGGGAGACTCTCTTTTGAGCAGATGGTTTTTTATGACATTCTTCTTTCAGGTTTTATAGGGTTGTTTTTTTTTTGTTTTTTGTTTTTTGTTTTTTGGTACCGGGAATCTAATTCAGGTCCTTGTGCTTGCCTGGCAGGCGGCAGAACCTCTGAGCTAAATCCTCAGCCCTTTTATAGGTTTTTACTCTAAAATTTCATTCTTTCAAAAGTGGCAAATAGGCAGATCACCTTCCTAGATGCACGAGCCCTGGGCTCAAACCCCAGAATTGAAGGGGAAAAAAATTATTAAACACTCTGACTTCCTTTTTCCTTTCAACAACTTTCCTATTAACCCATTCACAATCAGTCCAGACATGCATGACTGGTCCCATTGGTCGGCTTGTACTACCCAATGGGCCTGTCCGATGGCACCTGACAGACAGTCATGCGTGGACCACTGGTGATCCAATACAGGGGAATATGTTAAACTTAAAGGAATTCTAACTCATAACTGCAGGAAGCCATTTTGCATCATATTCTTTAACTGCTCACATATCTGTAATAGTATAATCTAGTAGGTATGACAATCCCAAATTTATTATTATATGTGTAAAAGGCGGAAATTATATCCATATTCACCTTTACATTTTGTAAACATGGTAATCCTTTTTATTTTTTTAGTGTTTTGAGACAGGGTCTTGCTGTGTAGTCTAGGCTGGTCTTGAACTCAATATGTGGCCCAGGTTGAACTTGAACTCCCAGCAATCCTCCTACCTCAGTTTCCCAACTGCTGGGACCACAGGTGTGTACAACCCATCAGCTGCTAATCAATTTATCAAAAAATGCATTGTATCTCAAAAACATTATCTTTGGTTTTAAAAAGAGAAAATAATAATGGGCACCCAGGCATGGTGGTTTGTACCTAGAATCCCAGCACTCTGGGAGGCTAAGGTAGGTGGATCACAAGTTTGAACCCAGCTTCAGCAACTTAATGACTTAGGGACATCCCGTCTCAAAACAGAAAAGGGCTGGGGTTGCAGTTCAGCACAAAGGCCCTGGGTTCAATCCCCACTGCTGGGGGTGGTGAGGGGAGTTGCTGGTCCTTTTCCAGAAAGCTCTCCCTAGAATGCACATATAAGACCTTATTTTATGGATGTAAAGGCATCTTTCAAGACACGAGTAAGTAGATGGAGACATAATTACTAATGTGCAGTGGAAAATTTCTAGAAACTTATCAGGAAAGTTACTGAAGGAAAAATGTTAGTTCTTTAGATTTTTAAATGAATAAATGTGAAGAGAAAATGAGACATAAGCAAAGGTCTAGGAAGAGAAAAACCGAGACCTGTTCTTGGTACTTAAAAATCATTCCTAAATGTCTTTGGACCCTAATTATTTTCTTAGTAGGGTAAGAGTAACAACTGCTTTCCTTGTTCAGAATAAAATAAAGTATATGAAGGCAGTCCTTACTGCAAAGTCCTCTACAAAAATTTATTCTCTCCAGCAAAAAAAAAATTTTTTTTTGGTGGTGCAGGGGATCGAACTCAGGACCGTGTGCTTGCAAGGGAGGCAGCAGAACCATTGAGCTAAATCCCCAGCCCTCTCCAGCAAAATTTTAGCCCATTTATGCTGAAGGTTGCAATTTTTTATTTTTTTCATGACATCCCTACATGTTACCTAGAAAAATTCAAGGAACAAGAATTTGAAGAGGAAAAGTTTTATTATGCTTCCCTGTTTGTGGTGTTCCAAAAATAGAACACTAGGCACAAATGGGTTAATGATGTTCTCACACTGTTTTTCAGAATTTCATAGGATGTTTTGAATACGAATTGAGCTATCATTTACATTAACAAGAGTTCATTTTCAGTATAACTGTTCTGCCCAGAATACCAGTTTCCGTCAACAACCTCTTTATATTTATCTGTAAAGCATTATAAAATTATCTGACCAAATTTGACATTTGATAATAAAGAATAAACATAATTATATGGACTAAGATTCTAGCTCATTTTAGAAAGCAGCAAAACCTGCAAGCTAATCAAGGTAAAATTATTATGAAAGGAAATATAAAGATATTCAGAATTTATTAAATAATTCCTACGTTTCCTATGAAGAAAAAGACTGTCTCCACAGAAAAGCTCTACCAAGCAAGAGCTATCAGCCAGGGAGGCTCCACTAGGCAAGCAGAAGTTAACCCCCAGGAATGAAGTGTAATTATTTCCTAAAACAGGTAAGCCAGACAAAAACTTTTAGATTTGATTTTACTTTTAACACTTATATAGAGCTTACAGTGTGAAATCCTGCTTTAAGTGCTGAACAAGTATTAAATTATTCAACTCATGTAACAATTAATGAGTTAGGTTAACCATTTCTATTTTACAGTGGAGGAAGTTAAGGCAGAATTAGATAATTCACAAGCTCACAGATCTAGTAAAATGGAGCTAGGATTTGAATCCTAACAGCGTGGTCCAGAATGTAGGCACTTAAGGACAATGCTAAGCTTCCTTCTAAGATATACAAGGAGTGACTGAAAAACACAGTGAAAAAAAAAATTTGGGGGGGTACCAGGGATCGAACTCAGGACCTTGAGCGTGTGAGACAGGCACAGCAGCACTGAGCTAACAGTGTATGTTTAACAAAAATAAAGTATTACAGTAAAAGACCTATTGTTATTAATCTCTCTCAAAGTACTCCCTTTCACTTCAAACACATCTCATCATTCTGGCCACTTTCTGAAGCAGTTCTGAAAGTCCTCTTGTGAGTGATTTTAAGGTGCTGTCAAAAATATGGCACATGTTGCTGCCGAATGTATCCAGTGGGCAGGCAGCTTTGTAAAAGCACTATGGTGTGCCCTCCTCCATCTTTATCCCTGGATCTGGTTCCAAGGGACTTCTGGCTCCTCCCCAAAGTCAAAATGACCATGAACTCTCTACTGGAAGAGATGCTACCAAACCCTCTATTTCACAATCTAGAATTTTGGAGATCAAAGCCAGCGCCTTCCTAGCAAAAGCCAAAATCTTAACCTGCAGCCATAATCCCTAATCCCAGGGACCTCACAGCTTCAGAAAAAACATTCCACTACTCAAAACAGCAGTAAAAAAACTTCTAGCAAGAGAACTTTTATAGTACTTCTCAAGTGCATGATTCAGTTTTTCTTATCTTTGAAAGTTTGAAGGGTTTCAGTAAAATTTTTACTTTCTCTCCTGGGTTTGGGAATAGATGTGTTTCAGGCATCCTGAAATCCGAACATACTTTCCCACAGTGCTTTAGTTTTATATACATAATAACTCCACAGTAAATATGGGCACAACATTTTATAACTGAAGACCATCTATTCTAGGTCAACATTCTCAATACAGGTGAAGAAAGTACGGCTCAGAGAGTTTGAAGAGGCAGCAGGCAGCCCTGTCCCTTGACTGTCAGCCCAATGGTTTTTACTGCTCTATTTAACTGCATGTTCTGACTGTAAGAGCAAACCAAACTGGAAATCTGTTACTTTTCCATTGGAATAATGGAAAAATGTTTTAAAATCATACATATTCTGACTTAATAATAAACATCTGAAATTCAACTTGTTGATAAATCAGGAAACAGCAATAATTCCTTTTCCGCATTTTGTGGACAGTTATGTTTATAATTACTTTAGGTATCTTAAATATCCCTTTTTATTCAGCTTACCCAATCTATCCCTCTTTATTTCCCGGAGCTGGTACTTCTGCATCTTTCCGTCCTCTATAAGAAAGTTCCCTTTCTATCTGCCCTGTCCTCTTGCCACTCTGATCTAATGAACCCCAGGATGGGATAAGAAATATTAAATGGAAAGTCTAAGCTCAAGTAAGATTCACTTGGAAATAAGGAAGTCTAAATATTCAACAATCTCCTCCTTATTTTATTGAAGATATCATCTTCGGTCATTTCTTCATATTTCAGAATCAGTGAATTTATTTTCTTGTGAAGGGAAAAGCAGGAGAAAGAGAGCATGAAGGTTCTGCAGACCTGAGATGGCAGATGGCGAAGGGGAGTAGGAGTTGGGAAGGAGAATGGCACAAGAAAGGGAGAAGAAGGCACTGAAAATAAACTTACTACTGTGGCTAAAACCCAAATGTAATGTTACCAATAGTGATGTTAAAGTGAAATTTTGTGAAAAAAATTCGTCAGCTTTAAGACAGTTAAAAAAACACAAGAAGTGATTGTCAAAAATGGGTGAAGTTAACTCTATAATAAAGAAAACCCTAAACATTACCCAATGAGATAACAGAAAATCCTTCAGGAAAAAAATTGGAGAATATTCAAACCAGAATCTAAACAAGCTTTTAAGACCAGAAGTTAAAGGGTTATTACCTGAACAACAGCTATAAGAACAAAAGGTAACTGGGAAAAGCATTAAATTATGCGTTAATGGACACATTGTGAGCCTTGTGTGCAAAGAAATGTGGGAAGGTGAGTATGAAGGCAGAAAAGGATACACTCAAAGCAGAAGGCAAAATAAATAACAATTCCGCCCTCCAAGAGCTAGCTTACAGGCTAACCAGTATATAATATACATGGCTGAAAAGTCTTGAAGTATGATACATAATTGCAAACAAATATAATCAAAACAAATCACAATGAGAAAAAGATAAAATTTATTAAAAAGGGGTAAGATTGCCGGGCATGGTGGCGCACGCCTTTAATCCCAGCACTTGGGAGGATGAGGCAGGAGGATCGCTGTGAGTTTGAGACCAGCCTGGGCTACATAATGAGTTCCAGGTCAGTCTCAACTGCATAGTGAGACTTTGTCTCAAAACAAAACAAAACAAGAGATAAGATTAGAGACAGAATTAAATTCATTTGCAAAATGCATTCAAAAATTCTCATTGATATATCCTTATATAACTCCTATTAATCTCTCTTCTATCTCCAGTAATCATATTTTTCCAAAAAGTGCAATGTACTATTAAAAAGATGACTAGGTAGAAGTCAAGAGTCTCTAGTTCCCTTTTTTGTAAATTATTGTATTTTTCTGTTACCATGGATTGAACCCACGGGCATTTTACCACTGAGCTACAAACCCAGCCTTTTTTACTTTGAGACAGGTTCTTGCTAAATTGCCTATGCTGGCCTCAAACTTGCTATTTTCCTGTCTTGGCCTCCCAAATAGCTGGGATTACAAGCATGTACCACCATTCCCAACTTCTAGTTTCCTTTTTGATATAGAACTCTAGATCAAGTATATTTTCTTCTGAGTTTTTAAAAATAATTTTTGTCACAAATCTAAATAAAAATTTAATTACTGTAAAAAGATCTAAGGCAGAAATCAAAACAGGATTAACAGTGAAAATAATTTTCATGCATCATATTATAAAAATCTTATATAACACACCCTAAGGTGTGATATAATCAACTTTGATAGAAAAGGTTTTAAAACACCACAAATAACTACTGAACAGTAAGCAGGCAAAAAATAAGCCTAAAAACTTGCAAATAAAGGAAATATACCTGCTATGCATGCATGGTGGGGCTGCATGCACACAGGGAGATTCTGAACTTTTACTAAGTTAAAAGTTCCGAAGTAGCACTTCACAAGAAAAATATGTTGAATCTGTGTATTAAATATAAAAGGTATCTTCACAAACTTATTAAATATAAATTTTAAGCCTCTCAAAAATTTCCACAACCTTCCTATGCTGTATCAGTGGTGAAATAATTTCACTTGTAGTATTAGGGAGACCTCTCCTTTTGAGGCTTTCCTAACAAAAATGTTGCCTGAGCCATACTTTAACCTAAAATAATGCAATGTCTTCAGATGAGAAATTGGAAAATAATTATTTTCTAGAATCATTTGTCTAGAGTCATTCTGAAAATTTCTGAGGATTCTGAGTTCCAAGTTGTACAATAACTAAAATTTTTAAAAAAGTAAAATAATTGATAGATCTATTTATCATAAAAGTATTAAAAGCAAAACTACAAAAAACCTTTCAGAATCACTTCAAATTAATATTAAGACTATATTACTAAGTATAGGTGGGTGAAATTCCACACGGAGGCCAGGCTCATGCTCACCTTGGACGTCTTCCTCTCCACCGTCGCCATCTTCCTCCTCATTGTAAGCCAGCTCAGCCTGCTTGTCTGCCTCGTACTCACCTACATTACCGTCATCCCCATTATAATCCGCCACTTTAGAGCCGTGCTGAGGATCAACGGGGGATTCGTTTTCATCAAAGAACCGGCCTGCGAAGTAGGTACAGGGTTAGTGATAGAGTAAAGAGAGGAAAGGAGGGGTCTACACTGAAGGCAGACCACAGAGTAGATAAGTGAAACCTGGCCACTTTCAGGGTAGTGGTTATAAAAAGAAACCATTTCATGAAGGTTCTTCCAGATAGCAGTGAACAAGTATTTTTTTTTTTTTTTTTTGGTTGCTGTCGTTTTGTTTTAAGGTGCCGAAGCTTGAGCTCAAGGCCTTAGCATGTGCTAGGCAAGAGCTCTGCCACTGAGCTATGCACACAGACCCGCCTTTACCGAGCCCCACCTTTTTTTTTTTTGAGACTGGATCTCACTAAGTTGCCCAGAAAAGTCAATGTTATTTAAATGCCTCCAAAGTGAATAAAACTTACTTACTAAAGATGTAAGAATTTAAGACAAAATTTAACAATTTTCTGTGATGGGTCTAATATATTTCAAAAATTTATATTTCCATAAGACAGAAGTTTCCCTAGCTTGGAAAGAAAAGTTAGGTACAAACTGCAAATATTATGGAGGTATCTGTCAGTTCTACAGATGGCTCATCACATCATCAAGCCAAAATATTTTGAATTGCTGGGTAAAGAGTCAATCAGGAAACAGTTAAACAAGAAATCCTGTTGGGTGTGATGGCTCATGCTGTCACACCAGCACTCTCTAGCCAGGCTCCCACTGGTTGGAAACCCATGGCTATGCCATAGGGATAGATGGACATCTGTTGGCCCGGTTTTACAAGTTGTTCAAAATCCAGTATAACTAAGGTTAGGGATTGGAGGATCCCAAATTCAAACCCAGTCTGAGCAACTCAGCGATTTAATTAGATCTTGTCTCAAAAAATGCGAAGAGGGCTGGGGTACAGCTTAGTGTGAAGGTCCTGGGTTTAATCAATACAAAAAACAAAAAACAAAATAAAACTCCAGAAGTCTTTTAAGTATTGAAGGGGAGAGGGTGCGGAAACATGACTAAAGTAAATGGGGCCAAGCCAAACCCCAGCATGCTGGAAGGTGAGGTAGGAGCACCATGAGTTCAAGCCTAGTCTGGCTACACAGCAAGACTCCATCTCAAAAAGCAAAACAAATAAACAAAAATGTATGTCAAATCTACTGTAGAATAAAAGTGGGGTATGTACAAAAACTAAATTAATGAAAAAGTTGATCAATGACTAAAGTAAATGGGGCCAAGCCAAACCCCAGCATGCTGGAAGGTGAGGTAGGAGCACCATGAGTTCAAGCCTAGTCTGGCTACACAGCAAGACTCCATCTCAAAAAGCAAAACAAATAAACAAAAATGTATGTCAAATCTACTGTAGAATAAAAGTGGGGTATGTACAAAAACTAAATTAATGAAAAAGTTGATCAAATAGAGGCTGAGGGTATAGATTAGTGGTGTGGCACCTGTCAAGCAAAAAAAAAAAAAAAGTAGTGTGTACTTATGGACAAAATAGCTTGCACAGGTAAATCATCTTTTTATGCAAAGTAAAACTTGTTTTTTAAATTTAATTTTACTAAAGAAAATAAATTTAATTAATCATGGCACTGGAAATTGAACTCAGGAGCCTCTCACTGACTTACGTCCCTAACCCTTTTTTATTTTTATTGCTTTTTGAGACTCACTATGGGTCTCACTATCTAATCCACCCCACCCTTGAACTCACTGTGTAGCCCAGGCTGGTCCTGAACTTACAGTTCTTCTACCTCAGCTTCCTAAGTGCTGGCATTACAGGGTGTGCCACTCACGCCTGGCTTGAAACTGCTATTTTAAACATGTAAACAGTTATCTGTACCTATTATAATACTCCTACAGAGCAATTTAAAGTTTCTTTTTTAAAGTGCTTAATTATCTGACTAGCTTGAATTCAGACATAAAATTTTAATATGATAATTACAATAATAGAGATCATTTTACAAGTCAATAACAAGAACAGATGACCACACAATTGCTCCTTGTTAGGCAGGAGTACGATAAATATACATACATTATATAATATATGTCCTGTTTGAACAAAGAGCTAACCCTAGCACTGGGTTTCCAACATTTTTTTTAAACAAAACTGACCAAATAAAGTTGCTAGTCATTTTGGGAGATTTGAAAAACTTCACATTAAACAATGAAGTTTGACAATGTAGATAAAAATACATAATGCTGTTAATATCACAGTCTGCTAAATTATATAGTTATCAGGCAGTGTATCAGTGTGGTTTAGAGTTTGGAGGGAAAGTTTCAAAAGGAAGACAAGTAATGGCCTGTGGTGTAGCTTACTGGTAGATAAAGTACATAGCACCTACTCAAGTCCTCGATTCAATCCTTGGACATCCACCCCAAAAGCAGGCAGCTATGTTAGTCTGATAAATGAAAAGAAGCATTCAGCTGGGTGCAGTACTAGCTACTTGAGAGGTGGAGGTGGAAGGAGCAATTGAGCCCAGGGTTTCAAAACCAATCTGGGCAACACAGCAAGACTGCCTGTCTAAAAAAGATATGAAAGAAAAACACTAAAATAGGTAAGAACAAAGATGGAGTATTTAGGAAATATTAAGGAGACTAATTTAAATGTAATTATACTGGGAAGTAGAAAGAGGAAATTTAGACAAGCAAATTAGGGATAATTTTGAAAGATCTTTAAAGTTAGATATTTTTAAAGGCCTCCTCCATTCACTTTACAAGGTCACTGTTTGAACCAAATAACAAAGCATATAAAGTATCTACAATAATCTTTTTTCCATTCATCCAATAATGATTCACTGATGTTTTTGATCGGTAGTGTGCTACTTGCAGTGATACAAAAATACAGTTGCCGTCTCCATCCCCTGTAAGTCAGTGCAATATGGGAGACAGGTACATAAACTACTGTGACACCATGTGTGCTCTGCAGCATAATGATCTACAGTGGCATCTAAACATGGAGATAGGTGCTACAGTTGCTCAGTCCATTTGATAGACTGAGTATGAATTTTATGTAGGAGGCAATAATCAGTAATTATGATTTTTCTTTTTTTTAAGACTGGGTCTCACTTTGTAGTTCAGGCAGTCCTTGCACTCACTTAGACCAGGGTGGTCTCACACTCACTATCCTCCTGCCTCAGCCTCCCTAGTGCTGGATGGATTACAGGTGTGCACCACCATGATCAGCTGCTTTTTTATTTTTTATTTTTTGGTACCAGGGATCAAACTTGGGACCTTGTGCTTGTGAAGCAGGCAGAGGAACCACTGAGCTAAATCCCGGCCCTGCTTTTTGTTTTTTTTTTTTAACTCACCGAGAATAAGAACTAATCTTATGGCACATTATACTGTGCAAAATTCAATTGTGCATCATACTGACACTGGTGGCTGACTGAAAATGATGAACTTAGAGCCTATCAGCAACAAGATAGCTTCATCAAGAAGTTTAAACAGAACACAAAGAAAGAAGCAATGTGCCCACTAGTTATTAGAAATCTCTAAAGCCAGTCATGGTGACGCACACCTGTAATCCCAATACTCCAGGAGGCCGAGGCAGGAATAAAGGAACTAATACAGTGCTTACTCTGTAAACATTCAAGCACAGCCGGGGGAACTTAGTGAGGCCTTTTCTCAAAATTAAAAATAAAAAATGGGCTGGGGATGTAACTTTTTTTTTTTTTTTTTTGTACCAGGGAGCAAACTCGGGTCGTTGCACTTGCAAGGCAGGCAGTGGAAACATTGAGATAAATCCCGGCCCTAATTTAATTTTTTTTTTTTTTTTTGGTACCAAGGATCGAACTTGGGACTTTGGGATGTAACCTGGCATAGGCCTTGAGTTATATCTCTAGTACTGCAAAAATATATAAATCTTTTTTCCAGCTTTAATTGAGTTTATTGGTACATTTTAGGGATACAGTACAGTTACATTCATTGTTGGGATCTTGTACCTCTACATGACAAGTCGTGATTCTCATTTTTTCCCCTTACCCCTGCCCTCCCTTTCCCCCCCCATCTACAAACACTTTATTTTCATCTTTTCATTCTCTCACATTTTTTTCTTTTCCCTTATTACCCTTCCCCTATAAATTTTTAAAATAAAAAAAGAAAGTCTTTGAACAGTATCAAATTTGAAAAACTAGTAGAAATTCTCAATATTTAAATTCCTTTCTTTTTTGGAGCCAAACTAGCAAATCTATTAAACATATAATGAGCACATGGTATATCTGAAGTAATTTTTCATGTATCTTCCTTTCTTTTGTTCTAATTGGTATAATAAGATGGTCCATGATTATAGACTAATTTCGTATACTCCACATGACCTAAAGTATTAAGCTTCTTTTTCATTTCTCCTTAAACAACACACTAGAGCTTCACATGGAATGCTAGACATTCTGTACAACAACTGAAATATCAGGCCACAAAAATTAAAAAGTGGCAACTCGTCTGTGTCACAGGAACAAGGTCCTGAGTTCAATCCCTGGTAACCTCCCCATCACTAAAAAAGAAAGGATAATAACAACAGTGTTATGGCTTGTATCTAGATGTCCCCCCAAAGCCTCATGCAGTCATGAGTGGGCTTTTTGGAGGTGGCTAGATCTAGAATGTGTGCTGCCAGGATCAGGGATTTGCTGTTGGGACTGATTCACCAGGGTGTGAGTGCTACCTGCCCTAAGGGGGCGGGTAGCCTAGATAAAATATAAGGGATAGAAAGAGCTGCTGCATTTGTTGCTTGCCACTTGTCCACTGTCACTCCTTGCAGCTTGCTGCCCTGCTTTGCCATGAACTGTTTCTCCTCAGTGATGCCACCCTGCCTTGGAGCAAGCTAACTATGAACTGAAACCTTTAAGGCTAAATAAACCTTTCCTTCCTTAACTTGTAGGTCTTGGGTATTCTGTCTCGGCAAGAAGAAAGGGAACTAAGGGAAACAGTAACGTTCCTCAATCAGGAAAGAGCATTTCAATCAAGGGAAATTGGGCTGTAAATTTTAGTCCTGTAGTATAAATCAAATGACTACTACAATAAAGTATTTGTTGCTTTATTAGCTCAAAATTAAT